TTCTTTTCATTAAGACATCTCTTCTGACTCCTCCATCTCCATCTACTTCACAGGTGACTTCCATTGCATCATGTAAAATTGCAGGTCTTTATGGCTTTTGCATATGTTATGCTCTCTCCCATTTGCATGTCAACTTCTTTATCTCTTACATGTTTACTCTCTCTCATCTAATCACTGGATACTAAGTCCCAATGCCATTTCATCTGGAAGGGCGAGGGCTACACCCTCCATCTTGCCCCAGAGTAAGGGCTACACCCTCCATCTTACCCTGGATCCTCCATTTTTGGGCAGCCATGTGCTCAGCAAGGAGCTTCTTCCCAGAAACCCAAGCCTCTGCTAGCCACACCCAGGATTTCTTTAAACTAACCAATGACAATCTAGGGAAGTGCATGCCATAGACATGACCACATCCTGTGTAACAAGACACCGACTTGCGCCTGGCCAATTGGCAGGGCCCACAGTCCTTTCTCCTCCCCTTACTCCAACCCCTCCTATAAAACCCCTTTCCACACAGAGTTCGCTCTCTCTGCCACCTGCCGCTGTGTCGGTGAGTGTGGTGGGGGAGCCGAGCTAGCTCAAATAAAGACTCTTTGCTTTTGCATCGGACCGGCTGGCTCCCTGGTGGTCTTTTGGGGATCTTGAAATCTGGGCATAACACATCTTCAAAGTCCCCATTCCCTGCCCCACCTTAATGACATTAGAGAGTCTTATGTGCCACTAAAGAGTCATTGATTTATGGTCAGTGTTTTTCTCTCCCAGGGCTTGGAGGTTCCTTGAGAATAGGGCATCTCATTCAACTTTGTATCTGGCACCTGTGTGCTCATGAGACTTTCAATAAGTGTTCACTGAATAAATGTGTGACACAGAAAAACAATACATCATTAGTTATTTTCAACCCCTTCCCTTCCTGTATGTTCTGAAGAACAAGGATCCCCAGGAAAGCCTTTGGCTTTGCTCAGCAGGGTGATTGCTGGGATGCAAATGATGGAAGCCAAAGGAGAAAGACCAAATTTCTTTTTGTGAGAAAATGTACAGAGCGACCTCTGGAGACGGAGGGTGTTCCCCACCGGCATGGAGAAGAAATGGACGGGAAATGGGGTTGTTTGGGAGAAAGAAATATGGCAGCTCACATAGGATGTAGGACTTAGGAGACACAGGTGTTTAAAAGTGTTGCACAGAGTAATTCTATTTTCCGTATTCACAAGAACTTTAGTAATAGTTGACATGACTTGTCCATGTTTTTATTTTTTACTGCTTCACTTATTTATTTATTTTTTTTGATCCTCACTCGAGGATATTTTTCCATTGATTATTAGAGAAGATGGAAGAGAGAGGGAAAGACAGAGAGAAGAAACATCAATGTGAGAGAAACACATGGATTGGTTGCCTCCTGCACATGCCCCAACCAGGAAGAGGCTGCAACTGAGGTACATGCCCTTGACTGGAATCAAACCCGGGACCCTTCAGTCCCCAGGCCGACACTCTATCCACTGGGCCAAACCAGCTAGGGCTGTCTATGTTTCCAGAGAATCATTTAAGTTTATGTTTCCTCTAGGGGGAAGAAATCCATGTCTCAGACACAAGGAATTTGAGCTGAGGTTAACTCCAGGAAGGACTGGAGGGGAAAATCTCCAGACTTGGGGTCAGACAACCTGGGCCTTTCATTTACACTGACAAATTTAAGTAACTCACAAAAGCTCTCTAAGCTTGCACGTCTTCAGCTATAAAGTAGCCATGATATTATCTGCCCCCACAGGATAGTTTTAAAGATAAAATGGGCTAATAGATGTAAAAGTTCCAAGACCATGTTTGGTTCCAAGACCAAAAATTTGAATCTGTGTAATTACTGTACATCCCTCTTCCATCTGGCCCAGTCTCCGAAAGAAGTTACTTTCAAATAAATGCAACCAAACAGCCAAGAATAATAAAGAAAGGATGCGAAACTTTTCTTGGAAAATATTAGGGTGTCCAACTCATACTCTTAGCAAACCTTCTCACAATCCCTTTCCTAGTCATCTCATACCTCACAATTCCATAAATCCTCTTACTTAGCTACATTCTTCCCACCTCACAGAATACCTTTACCAATGTATTATTGGTAATTAGAGGATTTTTTCTCTTATCCTCATCATGTAGATCAATATAGCCTACGGACCAAGGCCTGTCCTTTCTCTCCAAACCTCTTTTTCTTCCCATTGTTTTCATCGTGAAAATCCAGGACCATGGCATGAAGAGACAGGTACTCCGCAAAGGTCAGGTGTCTTCGTCTCTTTGAACTGCTGTAACAAAATACCACAGACTGGGTGGCGTATAAACGATAGAACTTTATCTCCCACAGTTCTGCAGGCTGGATGTCCAAGGCCAGGTTCTGGTGGAGGCTCTCTTTCCTGCTGGCAGACTGCTGGCTTCTCCCCGTGTCCTCACATGACCAGGAAACTCTCTCAGACCTCTTTTGCACGAGGGCATGAATCTCATTCATGAGGCTGGTGGTTGACCGAATCACCTCGCAAAGGCCTAATACCATCACATAGAGCATTAGGATTTCAACATACTAATACTGAGGGGAGGGGACACAAACACTCAGACCATACATCATGGAATGTGGACAAAAGACTAAGTACAGAAAGACAGCATTTTTTTTTTTCCAGGAAAGAGGCAAGGCTGGGAGCACTTCCATTTTCATAATGCTTTACTTGGTCATCTTTGTAAAGAGACCAATTGAACTCCAGCCACAGAACAAGACTTGCAACCAGAAGTTCAGGCAACCTTCCTGGGGCATCTGAAACCATAGGAGCAGAGCTGCTACTTTCTGACTGGATGATGACAGCCAGAGAACTAGGTTCCAAGTGCCTCCTAGTGTGGTCAGCATCCTGTCCAGGAACTCTGTGTCCCTCAGTGAACGGAGCAGGTGTTCTCCCAAGAGTTTCCTCTGAGTTGGCATCTGCTCCATTACCAATACTTTCTTCGCAGCGCAGGTTGTGCCCGCGCAAATGTGTGTCTGCAGTTTTGCAGTCAGAAGAACCATATCTCTGAGCTCAACAAAAATGTCACATCCTGCTAATTCGGAAAAAAATGTCCACGCTCTTTTGTTCCACTGCACACATTAATCTCGAAAGTTGAATCTAGTTCCTCTTTTTTGCAAACATACTTGGGATTCCTCCTCAGGAACAGATTTAAAAGGACACGTCCCTAAAAAAAAAAAAAAAATGTGGCAGGTTTTTTAAAAAAAATCAATCCAAAGCTGTTTCTTGTACTGCTATTTTTTGAGGCTTGCTTTTACTTCGGGGGGTAGCATTTCACCAACAATGAGGCTGATTTGAATTTGTGATAAGATTGTTTAAATAAGCCACTTTCTGTTAATATTCCTGCATTTCTGTGGAAGAGACCACTGTAGATCAACATATTATATTCTATCGATTTAATCTGTTTTGTATCTCACTCGTGTTTTTTTTCCTTTGGGTCAATACCATCCAGATTGGTGTTTCTAACCCTAAGGAACCTCTCATAAATTTTCTCCAGACTGATCAGTTCTCATCTTTGTTCAAGCTCTTCTCCTCATGTGAAAGGCTATGCCAAGTCATGCCCCATCATCTCTTTCAAAATCCATCTCCAGACGTCCTTCTCTGCTGCGCCCCTTCCTCTAATTCAGTGGCTCTCAACCTCGGCTGCACATTAGAATCACCTGGGAATCTTTTTTAAATCCTGATTTCTGGGCCTCATCCTCCGGAAATTCTGTTTCTTTGTTACTAATGTGTGGCCCCACCCCATAACAAATCTTGTTTGTGTGGGTGTTTTTTGTTTGTGTTTGTTTTTTTAAAGAGATATACTACTTTAAAACTTAGGGATAGGCAGTTAGAAAAGATTTGTACTGGAAAGATTTGGAGGCTTAAAAATTAGACAAAGATAGGTACAAATCTTAGTTTTGCTTTTGGGAAGTTTCTAAACCTCTCAGCTTCTTTATCTGTGAAATGAGTAAGATAATGCCTATCTCCTGGACTTCTGGGGGGAAATTAATGAGATAACCCTGGTGAACACCCTTCTAGATCAGGCCATTTAGAAGGTGTTAAAGGAAAGGAAATTAGAATTATGAGTGAAAGAATTCCCGGCTTTGCAAAATGCTCCACTGCACACATAGTAAACACTCGTAAAGGGCTTGGCCTTATGTCCCCTTGAGAGTCTCCAGTTTAGGGTTTGGAGGGAAGCATGTGAACAGGCTACCTGAAGGGGAACACACTTAAATTTCAGGAATAAGGGAAAGGATCAAGAAATCACGCATGTTCACTTTCCGTTGAACCTCTCTTCCAGCAAGCCTTCTGAGTTTAGGTTCAGCAACAGGACCCTGATTCAAGACTACTTTTATTTTATTTGGAAACTGCTTGGATTAAAAAAAAAAAAAATTGGAAGACAACATGAAAGGGTTCCTGTAGAGGACATCCTTGTTTTGTTTGTGGTTCTCAAGAATCTGAGTAAGACCATTTTAAGTTCCTCACAGGACAGACAAGGAAAGGTTTTTTTATTTGCCCCGGAGTCTCGCACATAGGGAAGCTGACCCTCAAAATGATGAAGGGACAAAAGGCAGGATGAAGACACGAATGATGCAGAATGAATTAATGACTCCGAGCCAGGGCTGGAACATAGATGGGGTTCCTCGTTTGTTGCTACTTTCTTCACAGTTGCTGATAAGATTTTTGGCCCACCTCCTCCTCCATAACTTCTCCTTCTCTCCCCTCGGCCTCTTCTATGTTCACGGGCCAACAAGACCCTTTATAGAAGCGTGGCGCCCTTCCAGACCCAGCTCCTCCCCACAGCCCCGCCCCTCCGCCGCGAGGCCCCGCCCCTCCGCCCGGGCTCTGCAGAAATGAATGGCGGCGTTGCCGCCGCGCCGCTCGGGGCGCTGATTGGCCGCCCGGCGCCGTGATGCACCGGCGGCCCGGGGAGCACGCAGGTGGGCGGGGCCGGCGGGGTGGAGCCGGACTCCGGGGCGGGGCGCGGAGGCTCAGGGGCGGAGAAGCCGGGGCGGGAGGCGGGAGGTGCCGGGCCCGTTTAAGCGGCCTCCCTCCCGCCCCCAGCCGCCCGGTCTGGCCCCGGCTCCGTCCCGACCCCCGGCCTGACCTACTCCGGCCCTGCCCCGCCGAGCGGTCCGCGGTGCACCCGGGCGGCCTCCGGAGCAACCCAAGCCCATGAGGGCCGCGCGCCCGGCCGCCGGCGCAGACGAGACGGAGCTCCCGGCCCCCGAGGAGGAGCGGAGGATCAATGAGGTTCCAGAATCGATTCCAGCGGTAAGAGGGATGGAGCCCCGGCTCCCCAGCCCGTGCCAGGCGCGGGCTCCAGATCCACCTCCTCCCCTGTGGGTTCCGGCTCCCCACCTGGATCCATCCCTCGGTAGATCCGCCTTGGCCGGGGACCAGCTCCCGGGGATTCCCCGCCCTGCTGTCGCTGGGCGATCCCCTCCCTCCGCGGACCGGGACCTGGTGCCTGACCCGGGTCCCCCCACCCCCACCCCTTGCGATCTGCGGACCTCTGGTTTCCAGATCCCCGTTGCTCATCCGATTTAACATCCCCCCTCCCCCGGTCCCCATCCAGGCGGGGCACTTGCTTGCCCTGAGACTCGAACCCCAATCGCAGGCGCCGCCCCCGGGCCCACAGACTCTGGTTTTGGCCGTCACCCCTTTCCCCACAGCCTGCGGGGCTCCCGGTGCTGCTGCGCCCTGCAGCGAGATCTGTCGTACAGCTGGGGTGCTGGGCCTTTTCGGTGCTTTGCAAACGCCCTGGCAACGGGGAAACTGAGGCACGCTCCACCGATTGAGCTTGCCTGGCGCTGTCAGGGCCTGGAAGGTTCTCAGGCTCATTTAGCGCCCCCCGGGCGGCGCTCTTCGGGGCACTGTGAAGGGTCGAGTTAGCACCCGGGTGGTGGTAAGGTCTGCTGTTGGGGCGCCCGCGGTGGAAAGGCGGAGGAGGAACCGAGGCGCGCCACCGGAAGGATGGCAGGCTGCTCCCCGACTGGGGAGCTGGGGAGCAGGCCAGCAGGCCGGCCGGTGGAGGCGCCGTGGCCTTAATCCGGGCTTTGGATCCCTGCCACCGAGCCATGGACGGAGGCTGGCCCGTGGTTCCCAGAGGAAGCTCTGGCTTTTTTTTTTCTCTCTCTCTTATTCTTCGGCATTTAAGTGGGTGAAAGTTCACCTCCCCTGTGTTTGTGGTAATTCTCCGTCTCTTTGTCTGAATCAGGCCGCTGTTCCCATTCCCAGACCTCCACCAGCCAGCAAGCTAGTGACAGGCGGGATTTGCAAGAAGGAAAGGAAGGCCTGGAATCTTCCAAGGAGGTTATTGTGGAGGTTTTAGGCACGAACCTTTTCTTTGAAACATTTTCAGTGCATTTGTTTTATTTACGATTTTCTAACCCCTCCATGCCCACTCACCCATCATGCTGATTTCATTCCTCCCCCAGTCCCGGCTATGGAAGCCAAAACATGGGAAGGAAGCCTTGTGGTGGACTGTGCTATCGGAAGGACAATCAGTTTGAAGACTTGGATTCACTTCTGAATGTCCCTCAGGGTGTTGAATGCCTGGCACTGTTCCCCCAGTGGGAACATCATATCGGTGCTTCTAAAGGCGAAAAGGAACCATGATGTTCTGGCTTTAGACCCTGACGTCAGGAATGAAGGCAGGGGGGCTTTTTCACGGAGACTGCAACCTGGGTTCGGGCATGATTGTCCAAGCCCTGTGCATGGGGTTCGTTTGATTTGGTTTACTTCTGCATGTCTGCGCTTTTCCTGTTTGCAGAGAATAGGGGCAATATTCTGTGAAATTCCCCTTCTTTATTTGATAAAGAGTTTCCTACCCTTTGAATTCTACTCTAGAAAGAAAAGAGCTTGTTTTACTCTTGGTTGCACAAACATTAAAACAGTGTTAAGAGACATGAAAAAAGAAGTCCACTTCGTTTAGGATTCATCTATCTCATCTGAATGAATTATTTTCTTTTTGCTGGACTCTAATCTGTCGTAGATGTAATGTGATTGTGTGGTCTGCTTTATTCATTTACAAATGAAAAGTACAATCCTTTTCTGTTGATGTGGCCCAGACTCTGCCGTGTTCCCAGTGGCTGCACAATATCAATGACTATTTAACAGTTATTTTCTTGATGACATCTAGATATGCCCTGATTTTCTTCTCTTTTTTTTAATTTATTGATTGTTAGAGAGAGAGAAACATTGATTTGTTTCACTTATTTATGCATTCATTGGTTGATTCTTGCATGTCCCCTGACTGGGGATCGAACCCACAACCTTGGTATATTAGGCCAACACTCTAACCAACTGAGCTATCCGACCAGGGCTACCCTGATTTTCTTTGAACCCTAAGTGGTCCCATAATTTCTTGTTTTTGTATTATAGACTAGATTGGAAAGATATTTCTCAGGAAAGTCAATTTGAACTTAGAAATAAAGCTTGAAAGTAAAAAGTAATATAACAACAACAAAAAGTCCTGGCTTTTGTGGTCATGCATTGAAATGTTAAGAGTACTGTTCTCTTAGCATTTAAACCCACGTTCATTTATATAGCTTTTGAGCATTCAGGGTGGTTACGGTAGATAAATTACAGAGGAACAAGAAGGAAGGGCACCCTCTCTTTGAACGCATGTGCTCCTCCTGATAGATTTATCAGGACTCCATTGGAGAGCATTTGATCTCAGTAAACACATTTCATTTAAGCCATGGCTTGTGGCTCTGCCTACATTACAAGAAAACCTGAACACCCTGCTGGTTTGTTCATAAGGGAAACTTGGCGGTCATTGTCGCTTCGGATCAACTTGCAGCGTTCTGCCATTACTGTGGAGGAGGGCTGGGAGGACGCTTAGCCTGCCGTCCGAAGTGGGGCTTTATGCACGCGTGGCTTATGATAGGAAAGGTGACGGCATGAAAGATTCCATGGGACATGGCATATTGTATCTCTTTTGCCTTATCACTTGTACATTTGAGTTCTCTCCCACACCCCCTACATTCTCCTCCCTGCCCCCCATCATTCTCTCCCTTTCACAGCATCTCTGACTGATCAGAATAACTGTTAACAGCAAGTGCCAACCTTTGCCAGGTAGTGGCTGGGTATTTGTACAGGGGTTGGGCAAAAGTAGGCTTACAGTTGTGAATGACATTTTTTTTTGAGTTAGTAAAGCTATTTGTAATAATCATAACCTGTTACATGTCTTTTTCCATACAAACAACTCTAAACCCACTTCTGCTCACCCTGTATATTACTCAGCGAGTCCTCAACTATAACCCTGGAAGACAAATTTTATACTCATTGACCAGAAGAACAGATGGGGTTCAAGAATAAAAGGGAACTTGGCCTAGTCACACAGCTAGGGAAAGGGCAGATCAAAGGTTCAATTTCTTGTCCCTTTTATCACCCACGCTGCCAGCTCACCTCATCTGTCCCACTGCGCACCCTGCAACATGTATGGGTACAGTGGAGAGGCCTAGGACCCACAGCAGCTCCTACTGTGTCTTCTTGGTGCATCCTCATTTCTCCAGCCTTGCAACTGAAAAGCAAGGAAAAGGATGCCCCTTTCCTCAGCCCCAGCCTTGGGACCACGCAAATGGAGTGTGAGGCAAAACACCTTATTCGAAGGCACCAGGAAGTCTTCCAGGATTGCCCGTTGCCTTTTTGCACAGGTTCTCAGAGCACTGAATCATAGGCCTGGGTAGTGTCCTTATATCTGCCTTCTCCCTTATTTAATAATTAAGTTACATGTCCCCTGCCACTGTCACCACCTCTGGCAATACGCTCATTCATAAAGGGGAACTCTTAATTGACTGTGCACAGGGGTCAGCTTATGTTGCCCCATCAAGTGATGTTGAAGGAGTCCTTGGAATGTCCATGGTCTGGGCCTTTAAGAATTTCCTTTACGCGAGAGTCAGAGTTCTTTTGGCTCCAAGACAGTCTGTTTCTCTTTGTTACATACAGACCCTGCTGCATCCCCACTGAAACCAGGAACAGTAGACTATTGCTCTGTTAAGATAAAACAGTTCAGCTGCAATGTCTGTCTTTCTGTTTGTTCATTCAGCGCCTATTCATTAAGCTCCAGCAATAAACTGGGCCTTGTGCTTGGGATTGGAAGTGAAATGGCGGACAAGATGGCCTTTATGGGATTCACATTATAGTGGGGAAAGATGAAATAACAAACACATTTTAAAAATCTTACTAAATGTGATGAGGGCTCTGGGGGGGGGGGGGAGCTGAAGTGATATTAGTAATAGTAGGAGTATGTTAATCCTCACCTGAGGATATTTTTTTTCCATTGATTTTTAAAAATATATATTTCTATTGATTTCAGAGAGGAAGGGAGAGGGAGAGATAGAGAAACATCAATGATGAGAGAGTATCATTGGTTGGCTGCCTCCTGCATGCCCCACACTGGGGATTGTACCCACAACTCGGGCATGTGCCCTGACCAGGAATCGAACTGTGACCTCCTGGTTCATAGGTCAACACTCAACCACTGAGTCATGCCAGCTGGGCCCCATTTTTAGGGATATTTTTAGAGAGAGTGGAAGGGAGGGAGAAAGACAGAGACACATGGATTGATTGCTCAGTGTGGGGGAGTTGATTGGCATTTTACATCATTTGGGCCTTGGGAGTGATTTCTTAAGCAGGCTAGATTGTGCCCTGGCAGATCAGGGAGAAGTGGGAAAATGGCGTTGTGCATTTCCCATCTAAACAATGGTGCTCTCTGTGCCACTGCGCCCCAGACAGCGATCTGCTCTTTGCACAGTTTCTCCGACCTGTGCCCCTTGCCCAGTTTGGGCTCTGTCCGTAACAGAGCCTACCTGAAGTCACATGGGTGGGATATTTTTCTCCACAACTCCTGAGTTTATTTTTAACCGGAGTGATCCCAGGTGGGCAGGGACTGAGCTGTGACAAGCATGGCCACCCAGCTTCTTGGCCTTTAGCAGAAAAATGTGAAAGTCTACCCTGGTTGCTGTGTAATGGTCTGACTATTTTTAGATTGGGCTGCCAGAGATATAAATTGCTATTTTAGTCTGCAGCTATGGTGGGGCTACTGGTGGGTGGGCAAACCCTACTTACTGCGCCCTCCACAGAGCACTCCCGATTTTACTCTGGCCTCTGCATCCATCCTGGAGCCTTTACAGTTCCTCCCAGGGTGTGGGGCTTCTAGCTCTGTTGTTATGTCTCAGGGAAATGATGTGGCAGATCCTTGAATGCTGGGGACACTGAGAAAGTGTTCGTCCCAAGAGTGTCATTATTTTCCTTTTTACAAATAAGAGCTGGATAGCAACACTCCCGTCCCTTAGGAAATTAGTAAAATTATTTAGAGGATCATCAGGGGAGAAAAGATTTATTTATGTGTGAGCATAGCTCGGATCCATTCTGAAGCTGCTAACTGCATGTTTCTCTCACGCGGTTCCCACGCCACCTGGTGGATTCCATTCGATGGGTATGTATTTACACCCATGTTAGGTAGCTAACCCGTTGGCGGGCCTTCACGCTCCCACATTCATTCCCCCGTGGACTTTCGCTTTGTGGGGTCACTAGGGACTGCCATTGTATTTTCGTTTAGTTGCTCCAAGGACAATGGCCCCTCTTAATTCAGGGAGAAAGTGCCAGTCTTTTGTTCAATAAACAAGACACTGTTTGGGATGGCTTGACCATGCGTTTTAGCCTCCTGGCTCTGCCCTCTGGTTCAGCCAGGTACCATTCCTCAGTGTGTTCATTAATAAGGTGTGACTAGTCAGAGTGCCTAGTGGCAAACAACCAAGTCCACGCTCCCCTCCCAGCAAACTAGCTCAAGCACGAAGATAGTTTATTGTGCAAAGCCTGCCGGTGCTTCCCAGGCTCCGAGCACAGGAACGCAGCGGGGGCCCGAGACCTGAAGGCTGCCGGGTTCTTGGACCTCCATTTGCTTCTCTGCATCTCGTTCAGGCGGCTGCTTTATATTCCTGAGTTTACATCTCCCTTTTCCAGGGGACAGACAGACTAAACCAGAACCCGTTTGGCATGAGTGTGGGTGGGGTTTGGGGGACCCTCACCTACACAATGAAATGGAAGAATGCTGCAGTGATCATGCTTGTCACTGCCTGGGTGCTTGCCACAGAGTTAGCCCCAAGGGAAGTATGGGATCTGGGTCTGTGTGGCACAGATTTTGATAACTTAGGTACATACATTTGTGTGTATCTTTGAATTTTAGAGCCAGGGTTTCCGCTACGAGTCATGCATTTGGATTTTGAAGCCGACTCCTTTAATTGAGGAAGGGTGCGGGTGAAGACGTACCTCTTGTTTAGGTGGCCTGAGGCAGCCAGGTGTCACTTATTAATTATCTGCTCCCGGAACAGATAATGCCACAGAGAGAAACTAGTGGGACAGGCCGGCTGATCATGGGATGTAGGGTTTAAAGATCTACATGTATAAAGCTTTCTAAATTTTGAGAGCAAAAATAGAAACCTTTCAAATGCATTGTGTCCCTTTTCATTTAGTGGCCATTACTGGACTTTGTAAAGTTTAGAGAAATCCCTTTGGTTTGCTTTCTGTTAATGGTTAAGATTTGGTTGTGCCTTTTTTTTTTTGGCGGGGGGGCGGGGGGGGGGGAGGTACCAGTTGAAGGGAGTGGATATGGTTTCTGTTTGCTTTGGGTTGGTAGGTTTTTCTTTTAAATGACCTGAAAGAATCAACTAGGGCATTTGCTTTAGGATCATTGCTGCGGGCTCAGTGTACACCTGCTTTGTGGCTTCGGTTCTGTTCCCGTGACTAGGTGTTTCCAGCAGCCGCCTCTTTGTTTAGAATAGACCAAACAACCATTGGCAGGCTACCCACTGTTTTTCACACGCTCTGAGCTGCTCTCACATGATGTCTTTCTGTTTCTACAGGTTCATGAACCACCGGGCCCCAGCCAATGGCCGCTACAAACCAACTTGTTATGAACATGCTGCTAACTGTTACACACATGCAGTGAGTATGCGTTTTCTGCCTTTTCATCCTCCCAAAAGGCTTTGCAGGGAGGCGGGGGCAGTTCTCTCAAGTAACTTTTCCACCCCATTAGTTGGATTTACCCATCCCCGTGACCTTATCTACCAGAGTATCCGTGCTGGGTCCTGTCACCAGAAACTGTGAGCATGTCCAGGGCTCTGACCTACAGTCTCCTCTGTCCATCCTGGACTCGCTTCCTCTGAGGAGGTCTTTAAGAATAATAATAGTAAGCACCCTAGTCATAGGAAAACCAGAGAAAACGATTTGTGAAGACTGTCGCCCTGGAATGAAATGATCGCCTTTTCAGGATAGTCAGCTGTGTTCATTTGGCAAGGACCTTTATCATTTGGTTGATAAAGGTGCTTTTTATTTCTAAATGATTCCCTGAAACTGGTAGACACACCTTCCCTGTTATCACAGTGGCTATGCTCCTCAGTACAAATGATATTTCTTTAAAAAATATATATATATATATAATATATAATTGATTTTTAGAGAGAAGGGAAGGGAGAGGGGGAGAGAAAGAAACATCGATATGAGAGTGGAACATTGATTGGCTGCCTCCTGCATGCCGCTTACTGGGGACCACGCCTGCAACTCCAGGCATGTGCCCCAACCAGGAATTGAACCAGCAACCTTGTGGTGCACTGCATGACACCCAACCAACTGAGCCACACTGGCCAGGGCACAGATGTTATTTCTTATTGAAGAAAGAGCTAATTTGATCTCTAAATTCTTAATTTTTTTTCTTTCTTATAAAAGCAAAACATGCTCTGTAGAAGAAACTTAGAAAACACTGAAAAATGTAGAAGGAAAGTAAAACTACCCAGAAATAAATGAATGCATTGGTGCATTTCTTCCTTTTAGGTGTAGTGTTTGTGAATATGTATGCATTTTCATAGTTTTTCTATTAATCGCCTAACATTGGCCTTTTTCTTGTGTCATTATAATTTCCCCTTTTCTGTGGTTTCATTATTCCCTTTGAAAGTCACATTTAGTGAGGCTTTAGAGAAAAAATGGTGTTTAGTCTGAAGACAAGCAATAGAAAAGGAGAGCAATTTAGTCCTTTGGTGAAGAGTGTAATTTATTTCATGCAGTGTTAGTACAATATGTAGGCGACATACATGTGCCATTAGATTAAAATTTGTTTGAAGTCAAGTTGTGTACAGTTCCTGGGCTCTGAATAGCAGTACCTGTTTCCAGTACAACTGACTACATCCAGCTCTCCTTCCGATTACCCAAGAAAGGCAAGTGTTTGTTCTAAAGCGACCTTTCTACAAGTACCCTGGTATGTTCTGAGTGGTAGCGGCTCTCTATGGAGCATGCCCGTGCCTTTCTCCCACGGCACGTCTCCTGTCCCCCGGGCGTGTTTCCTCGCCTCTCTCCTTCTCCTAAGCTCCAAGGGCCCTTCTTTTGCCTCTGTAACTTATTTCCTGAGCCCATTTCTTCTAAATAAACTTTCCCTTATTAAAAAAAAAAAAAAGTATCCCTGGTAATCCTGCGTATTTGTAACACGGTCTCAGTTCGGTAAGAGCCAGGATATTCACTTTGCTGTGCCCTTCCCTCAGTTCCTCATTGTCCCGGCCATCGTGGGCAGCGCCCTCCTCCATCGGCTGTCTGACGACTGCTGGGAGAAGATAACAGCATGGATCTATGGCATGGGCCTCTGTGCCCTCTTCATCGTCTCCACAGTATTTCACATGGTGTCATGGAAAAAGAGCCACCTAAGGTACAGTGGATTGCTCGCTACGTCAGAAGGTTGGAATAGTTGATTCAGGTCAGCCTCCCATACGGCATGTGTAGGCCAGATGCAGCAAGCGAGCAGACATTCTCCTGCCTTTCAGACTTTACTATTATTGTTTTAACAAATATATTTTTATTGATTTCAGAGAGGAAGGGAGAGGGAGAGAGAGAGAGACAGAAACATCAGTGATGAGAGAGAATCACTGATTGGCTGCCTCCTGCACTCCCACTACTGGGGATTGAGCTTGCAACCCGGGCATGTGCCCTTGACAGGAATCAAACCCAGGACCCTTCAGTCCACAGGCCTACACTCTATCCACTGAGCCAAATTGGCTAGGGCCCACCTTGCAGACTTTAATGCTATCCCATTACTTAGGAAGCTTCCTACGGATTGGGCAGGCTTGAGGACCCTCATGTATCTAGCAGCGCAGGCCTTTGCTCAGAAACCAACAAATGGCACTGCTTCCCCAGGATGAACAGCTAAAATCCCGAGACCTATGTGCCAATGCCGTAAGCACACTCTAAGAAGGCACTGCAGGGCGCTGCAGCCGCGGGGCAGTGACCGCGTGCACTGAACTGGGGGGCAGCGGCTGGCTGTGAGCCCCAGCACTGTCAGGTTAGCCTTGCGGATGTCACCTTGCGGATGTCACGGAGCCCCCGTCTCTCCATCACTAAAGTGAGGGTAACATGCCTTCCTCGCCGGGTTATCGTGACAGCTGAATGAGATAATGCATGTGGAAGTGATTTGAAAATTACAAAAGACTCTGGGACTGTGAGATGTGAGGAGGTACACGGCAGCTTGGGGCCACTGTCCTGCAGAGTTCAGCTTCCGAATTAGGCCCTGTGTACGTGTGGGCTTCAGACACAATTCCCGTGTTTTGCTACTATTAGCTGCCAGGCACTTTTCAAAAATACTCTGGCCCTGAGCCTCCCAATGAGATGGACATGGGAGCATTCCCCCTCTGAGCGAAGGACTGATTTGGGGGGACACAAAGGGAGCAGCACACCATTTAGTTGCTTATGAGATAGATTCTGCACAACCCAACAGGCAAAATTTCTTCTCCAAAAAAGGAGAATTCAGAGCAGACTTAGAGTGACCTAAAATAATATCAGAACATATCTTTTTGTTTTACAGAATGTCCAAAAATATCTCCAACTGTTCAAACAATCCAATATTAAAAAGACATGCTTTCTTTAAGAGCAGGACTGGGGTTGATGATATATTATTGGTTTCCTCGCCTGTGGAATCATAGAAGTCATAGGGTTTTACAGCTGGATGGGTCCTGAGGGATCATCTAATCCAAACCCGCTATTGTTCACCTGGAGAAACTGAGGCTCAGAGATGTGGCCTGACTTGCTCGAGTCAGCGATCCCTGCAGAATCTGATCATCCCAGGGCTCCTGACTCCTAGTCCCAAGGTGCTTTTCACCCCATCCTTCACAATATTGCTGGCAGGATGCAGTCTGCTACCTTGCCTGTAAGGTGACAGCTCCCCGGGCTTAAAAATAAAACCACAGCACCGAATCCCAAGGGAGCCGTAGACACACTCGCACGAGGCATCAGCAGTACCTGAGCTGGCTGCCCAGGACACACCATCACAGAGCCAGAGGCCAGAGCACTTCATTATCTTCTTGGCAAGCCCCACGCTTGTGGTTGCCTCAGCTGACTTGGCTCTGATGTCTAGATTTCTAAATCAATAAAGACTTGTAGATGCCATACGTCAGGAGGCAGGGCCTCCCTGCCAGGGGCTGGAGAGGAAGGTGCAACAGAAACCAGATTCTCTTGAACCGCGAAATAGCACTGCCAGAATTGTCACCCACGCAGGCATTTCTGCTCTGCCTCGATTTTTTTTAAATATCCAAGTGTAATCTTAGTTTAAGTAAAAGAGGGAAGGGAATTATCATTCATTGAGTACCTACTATGTGCTGTGCTAAACATATGACTATATTACGTCATTTAATGCTCACGCAGACTCGGTAGAGATGCTATTATTTCTATCTTACATGTGAGGAGAGTGAGGGGTCAGAGAGGTGGGTAGAGGATCTTGAATAAAATTTCAGGTCTGACTTTACCTGCTGTGATGGTGCATAACAATTCTAGAGCAGCGATTTTCAACCTTTTTTTTTTCATCTCATGGCACACATAAATTACTGAAATTCTGTGGCACACCAAAGAACATAGTTTTTGCTAATCGGACAAAAAGTAGGTATAGTTTTGATTCATTCACACCAGACAGCTATTGTTGTGTTGGCTGTTGTCATTTTTTTATTTGACAATCTAAGGGAAAAGAGGTCAGTGCCCCTAACTAAATAGTCAGGTGATGCCCGTTTTAAAAATTCTGGTAGCACCCTCGTTGAAAATCGCTGATCTAGAAAGCAAAATTAGAAAGGCCGAACCTGGCTAGGAATCATAGTCATCCAAGGAGTTAAAAAAAAAAACCAAAACAAAACATAAAAACCCCTCTTTCCCTCCATCCTCAACCCCCAGCTTCTAGCCCTTTTAAATTAGGATCTTCTGGACTGGAGTGATAACCCATACTTCCAGTCTGCATATCTTCTGGGAACTAACTTGGTTTTCTCTCCCATCAGGACAGTGGAACAATGTTTCCACATGTGTGATAGAATGGTTATCTATTTCTTCATTGCTGCGTCTTATGCGCCATGGTAAGATACAGTCTTTCTATTTTTGAAGAATTGTGTTTTTATAATAGAATTGCCCAGACCTTTCTCCCCTTCCTCCTGTTCCTATGTCCGGCCCCATGCATATACCCAACCCTTCTCCCCGCAACACACATACATACGTGCGTTATTTTTCCATCTTGACCTACTTGGGTCAGATTGCAGATTTTAAGGGGAGGAAGTTGCTGCTGTTCAGAATATATGTCTGGCATTGGATCATTAAAGAGAAGTGTTGTGAACTTGGGTTTAAGTAGCACCCTCACTTCTGAAATCCATTTCGTTTGCCTTCTCTATTCTTTTATACCTCTACTGCTGTTCAGAATACTTAGACATCTAATTGAGTGGAAATGCTATAAATATGTATGAGGAAAACAAGCTCAGTTTTGAAATGTATACTGTTTGTCTTCAGTACTTCACAGCACAGTAACTACTGTATATGGAATGCATTTCTTTAGATGTATGAGTAAGAGAACTAGCCAAATGTATTCGCTATTTAAAATATCTGGTACTCTGATCAACTTCCTTGATCTTCCTGCCCTTTTGGTATTGAGGTCAGATAGAATCTTTTGTTGCTTTGAAAACTGTAATTAAAGAAACATTCGTTTTCCCTATCAAGACGTGGTCCAGTTTTAAACACTCAGAAATTTACATCATGCCATTGACTACAGCAGTCGTTAGAAACAGCCGGCCTCTAGACTCTGGCTCATGCAGCATCCATCATGCAAGAGAAACCTAAGTATCTGCTGGAGTAAAAAGGAAGTGCTCTCTCTCTCTCTAGCACCTGTTACTAAATTACAGGTCTGCATTATATTGGAGAGAGAACCCTTAAAGGCTTTTGTGAAGTGCACATCAATTTAACGTAAGTCTGTGACAATTTTAAATGTAGGCTGAGGAATCACATCTTTACAGTAAACATTTGTTCACATGTCATCTTTGATACATGGGTGATACTTTTTCCATTTGGTATTAATTTTATAGTACTAGCCAATCAGAACAATGTTGGGTTTTTTTCCCCTCTCATATCCTTAATAGGACATTAGTACAAATGTATTTGCAGCATTTTAACATTCAGGCCTCACAAAAGCCCACGGTACAATTCTAATAAATGTCTTCTATAATATATGTTGGGGAAATTCTTCTCATGTTCTCTCTTGGAAGAGAGGGTGATAGTGGAGACGCCAGGTCTGTGTGTTAGGTATCTGCTGCGGTTATGTGATCCCCGGTCAGGATTTTGTTCAGGGTTCCTGTTAAGCTTTGTCAGTAATCTGCTCTCAAATACATCGTCGGAACAGGAAGGCAAGCAGAATTCACAGCAGCCTGCCTTATTAGGGCCTCCCAGGTGTGCTGGGACACCCACGTATCTCCTTTTAGTAACTTCTGTTTCTAAACCACGTTGAAAGGAATTCTGAGTCTTAAAGGTCGGCTGACAATTTTATCTTTCAGTGACTCATGTTACCCAACTTCCCCAAACGCCTCCCTGGCTGTTGAGTGCCTCTTCTTCCTGGCCTTATCCCTGAACTTGCTTTCCCGCCTGGAAGACTGGAGGACCATATGGGTTCTGCGAGCTCCCTTCATTTATCACCTCTGTTCTTTGTTGTCATTTTACATTTTTAGGTTAAATCTCCGTGAACTTGGACCCCTGGCATCTCATATGCGTTGGTTTATCTGGCTCATGGCAGCTGGAGGAACCATTTATGTATTTCTCTACCATGAAAAGTAAGAGAAAATAATTTACATTTGATTGTTTTAAAAGTAACCGCCTAAGTTTTATCTCCACCACAATTTGCTCTCTCTGCACATCGAAATAGTAGAAATACATAAAGAGTAAATATCTTGTTTTAAACAAATCTTCCGAACCATGTTTGGCATTCATCATCGGTGGGCAGATTGCTGCGGGAAGAAATGAGTGGCCAGGGTGGCCAGGTGTAGGTGAGGGACAAGGTGACTGCCACTGAGACTCAGTAGGACCTCATTTCACATGCTCAGGAAGACTGGCCTCATGAGCAACCAGCCTTATCCTCTGTGACTTACAGTCATCACGGGAGAAAAAGAACTACTTTTCAATTTTCCTATGAAGATGGAAGATAATAGATATTAAGTGCCCAGCACAGCACTTACCTAGATAGGAACCTAGATAGGAACCTAGATTCCCTGAGAAGGAGGGGTTTGGAAGGGCATCTAAACCCTTTATATCCTAACCATGGGGCACATGTTATTAATTCATTATTCGTAGGCATAGTCCTAAGTGTTAAGCAATATAAAAAGGAAAGTTGATTGAAATTTAGCACCTGCACTCTAGAGAAGACCTCAGAGTCATCTATTCCAGCTTCATGCTTAAAAAACGAGAACATTTAGGACATACATCTAATTAGTGACTCGTCTGCAACTGGGGCCCCAGTGTCCTAGTTCCTAGGCCACAGCTCTTTTCATTATTGCATATGCCTGAATTTGGGAAGCTCACAACTAAGAAATCATTGTCATTGGACACAGTTTATTAAATTCTTTATCTATTGTGGTTGGTAGAATGGTTCTCAGAGTTTAGCATAATTTCTGTTTACCACAAAGCATTATTTTCCCTTGTCAGAAGACAATGGTAGTTTTTGCTAGCTTCTCTCCAACTCTGAAATTCACGTAAATGCATTGTCCCCCAGAATTAGCAATTCTGAGTGGTATTATGCAGTATATATAAATCCAAGGAAACAGTTTGCTTCTTGGACTCAAATCCCTAATTTATATTCTTTTTTTAAAAATGTATATTTGGTCTCCAGAGATGCTGTATATTTTTAAATATGTTTTTATTGATTTCAGAGAGGAAGGGAGGAGAGAGATAAAACATCAATGATGAGAGAGAATCATTGATCGGCTGCCTCTTGCACGCCCCCTACTGGGGATTGAGCCTGCAGCCTGCGCATGTGCCCTTGGCTGGAATTGAACCCAGGACCCTTCAGTCCGCAGGCCGACAATCTATTTACTGAACCAAACCGACTAGGGCACCTAATTTATGTTCTTAATAAAATAGGAAGTAAAGTAAGACAACTATCTTTTCTCCTATTCCAGACTTCCTAATGTAAACCATACCTGCAAACCCCTCTTCCCCAGTTCCCTGATAGGGTTCCTTCGCGGTGGACTTGGAGTAGAAAACACTGAGAATGAGAGGCGAGTCTCACTTGGCCATTCGGGTTGGCAGGTGTTAGGGAGTACCTTCCCTGGTGCCAGGCACTGTTCTAGGCTCTGCAACCCAAACATAAATAAATGTGGCCCCTGCCTTTGAGGAGCTTCCAGTCTAGTTTGATTAGGCAGATATGTAAGTTCAGTTTCAATACAATTTCTGACGTTCCAGACATTCGGTAGCCTGATAGGATGATGAGCCTTACAAATTGGAATTCTGGTGTGAAGATGCAAGATGACGAGACACAAATACATGCCCTTTGTTTCTTAGGACTACTCTCCCTCTGCCACTGGTAGAAACCAGCCCAAGCTGCATCTCTGCCCATCTGCATCATTTGTTTCTTAGAGCAATGGGTGGCAGTGGCACTGCGGGCAGGCCCTCTGGAACTGGGAGGGAACGGGCATGGTGGATTGGATCCAACAGTAACTGTTCCGGCGGAAAGCATTTTCCAGGGGGCATGTGGAGGCTGAGGCCTTGTCAGTCCTATAGGAAATGCTAGGTCACTGTTACTCAATCAGGAAGTTTCAGTTAGAGGCCTACTGGTCTCCTACGGGGGAAATACATTTTATTCGATTACTTGAGGTTACTGGATTTTTGAAAGAAAAAACTGATATGGAAATGGTTTAAGTGTTGTAGGAATAGACACATTAAATGAACTGCATTCCATCCTACAGGTATAAGTTGGTTGAGCTCCTTTTTTATCTCACAATGGGCTTCTCTCCAGCCTTGGTGGTGACATCAATGGTAAGAAATGGCTTCATAATTTTATTTATTTCACCTTATTTCCTTTTAACTCACTAGGACTCTTTACATGTCCATAGATAAGATATGCAGCTTTTCTTTCTGACGTTATGATATGTTCATTAACTAGAGACTCAAACGAAAAAAATATATATAAATTTATATATATATACACATATATATTAAAGTGCCAGGAACTTGTACTGGCTACTGTCTATAACGTTTGGGAAAGTTGTACATTTAAGTGTGTTTGTTTCCCTGTGGTAACCTTCTGTGTTTGTTTTTTTGGGTAACTTTTCTGTTCGCCCCACCCTCACTCCCACTCTTCTCTTCACCCCACTCAGGTGTGAGATTATGTGAAGGTGGGTATTTCTGCTTGAATTACTTAATGTCTCAACCTGAAATATATGGAAGAGGGTACCTTCTGAAGCTCCTTACATGAAGAAATTATAAATTACTGATTTCTTAAATCTTAAGAATTGGAAGGACCTTAAAAGATCGTTTGGTTCATTTTGAACTTCCTTTCAAACCAAATTACCACTGAGAAACCTATGTGTAGCTGTCAACTTGAAACAAACACATGTGATCACACCCTCCCAATCCCTACAACCTCCCGATCCCATCCAGCTGGTTACTGTGCCTTAAGTTTCTGCACCCCAGTGTCCTACCCTCTACATTTCTGCACTAGCCTCTGTGTTAACTGAGGAAGTCACAATGAGTTCCGTTTGAACTCTCTTCTCAGCCTGCCATGGTCAGAATTGTACCTATAATTTCACTCCTGAGCTCACAGGCACAATTTTTTTCTTAATTTTTAGGGGGAGCGAGAGGAAGGAAGAGAGGGTGAGGGAAATGAAAAGGGAGGGAGGGAGAGACAGAGAGAGAAACATCAATTTGTTGTTCCACTTATTTATGCATTCACTAGAGGCCTGGTGCATGACATTCGTGCACTCGCAAGGTGTGGGGGGGGCGGGCGGGGGGGAGTCCCTCAGCCTGTCCTGTGCCCTCTCACAGTCCAGGAGTCCTTGGGGGATGTCCGACTGCTGGCTTAAGCCCGCAGGGAGCAGTCAGACATCCTTAGCGCTGCTGCGGAGGCGGGAGAGGCTCCCGCCACTGCCGCTGTGCTTGCCAGTCGTGAGCCCAGCTCAGGGCTTCTGGCTGAGCAGTGCTCCCCCTGTGGGAGCGCATTGACCACCAGGGGGCAGCTCCTGCATTGAGCATCTGCCCCTGGTGATCAGTGTGCATCATAGCGACCAGTCTTTCTGCCATTCAGTTGATTTGCATATTAGCCTTTTATTATATAGGATTGGTTGTTTCTTGTATGTGTCCTGACCAAGATCAAACCCACAACCTTAGCATTGAAACAATGCTCTAACCAACTGACCTACCTGGCTAGGGCCAGGCACATTATAGCAATGTAGTTTTACTGTACATAGTTCTGGTCACAAAAATACCTGATAATGGTTTAGGAATTAGTTATAGGTTTGCTATGTGTTTTTTTTTCCAGAGAATATGTCTTAAGAGAATGTAACAAAATATGCTCTTTGAGATAGGAGGTATATGATGGCTTGAACAATTCCCTAGCGCCAAGAATGCACATAATTTAGTTGCTAAAGGCAACAGGGACTATCGAGGGGAGGGAGGTGAAGGACTGAAATGAGAATATCTGTCTTGAAGGTCCTAGAGTTAGAGGGTGATTGAGGACACCCAAACAATATAATAAGCAAGGTCTATGTAGACAGGTCATCAACCACCAGAGAAGTAAATTCCCCTTGGGTATCATCAGAGCAGGTTTATCCAGTATTTTTATCAGCCTCAATCTTTAATTGGCATTTTTACAAGTGGTAATGTTACAATCAAACAGGATAATCCTCACACTTGCCCCCACAGAACTTAGAATCAAGCGTGACATGTGTACACGCTATATTATAGAATTGTACACTTGAGACCTATGTCATTTTGTTAACCCATGTCCCCCCCCCCCAAATTTAATTTTATTTAAAAAGTTGTAGTTTTCTATAGCATGACATTCCCAAGATTCATATACTTTACTACTTCATGATTGGTTTTTCTTTTATTCTCTTTCTGTTTTCTTTATTTATATGTGTTTTCAGGTTAAAGATAAGGAGCTTATAGTAAAACTAGAGGCCTGATGCACAAAATTCATGCAAGAGTAAGCCTTCCTTCCCCCAGCTCCCGGGACCAGCTTCCCTCTGGCACCCAGAACCTGGGCTTCCCTCCAGCTGCCGGCAGGCACCCGGGACCCAGGCTTCCCTCGCAGCCCCAGCTTCCTTTGTCCAGAAGGTTGTCTGGAAGGATGTTTGGAAGGATGTCCAGTCTAATTAGCATATTATGCTCTTATTATTATAGATATTCTGGAAGTAATAAACTGGGATATAAAGTGATACCTCTAATAAAATGTTTATTTTGAGAGGACATTTAGCAAAGCCTGGTTCTTAGGACATGGTCATCGGGTGCTGCCCTTGCTTTGGCCTAGGCCCGTGGGCCTGTTCAAGTAGGCAGCTGCATTAGAACTTGCCTGTGCTCACTGCTCAACTGGCCACAGGACCTGTTGCAAGGCTTAAAGGCCACAGCTGTCAGCGCCCAGGCCTCTCGGCCACCCATATGCCCGCCCCCTTCCAAGGCCTTGCCACCATCTGGTGAGGTTTCTACCAACCCTGCAGGACCCAAGACCTTTCTGTTCCTGGTCCCGGGAATCCAGGGGATTGAGCTGTTTTGTCAACTTCCTAAGCCTGGCTCTGTTCCCTTCTCATTCATACAACACAGTTTAATCTTGAAGCTGGGCCTAGGTCTTCGAAAACCAAGAGCGGCCTAAAGTTTCTCCTTTTTGTGCCAGATCATACATGTCTGTTTACTTCCCGCTAAGCTAGGAAACACCACGCTCAGAGACAAAAAGGCCTGGCCACATCTAGGTTAGACAGTGTGCTGATCCCTGTTTACAAAAGAACCATGTTGTGTCAGAATAAAACATGGTGAAAGTAGTGTAACATTACCTATATGATCCCCGACCTCTGAGGCCACTTCTAGTTATGACTTTCCTGGGTCAGCCACAAGGAAGTCGTAAACTCCGACAGGCAGGGAAAGTCTCAGCAAAGCAATCAGTATAGAGCAGGGCTTGAGGACAACAGGAAGTGAAAACTCGGGCGAGACTGTAGGTTACAAATGGAGTGGCATAGGCGCCTTAGTAGGAGGAAAGCTTTAAAGGGGAAGATGAAAGCCAAGGATTGTTCTATATTAAAATGAACTGCCGTGCCCTAGCTGGTGTGGCTCAGTTGGTTTGGCAGCGTCCTGTAAACCGAAAGGTTGCCGGTTCAATTCCATCAGGGCACATGCCTGGGTTGTGGGCTCGATCCCCAGTGGGGCGGCATGCAGGAGGCAATGTTTCACATCGATGGTATGCTCTCTCCCTCTCCCTTCTTCTCTCTCTAAAAATCAATAACAACTTTAATAAATAAAATGAACTGCCATGTCTGGATGCGGTTACCATCTGCAGAATGTGCTGCTCTGCACTAGGGGACCCCTGACCTGACTGCTGGGTTGGGTCAAGACGTGTCGCCCAAAGGGTGATTCATGTCGATGTCAGGAGACTCGATTTACAGACCAGGACGCTGCCTGTGCAGGGATACTTCATTGTCTAGAATCAGGAGGCAGAGCGGGGGCTGCAGTGACCCTCTGTAGCCTGTCACCTCCGTAACATCCACACTTTCCCTCTGCTTCCTCTGCCCACAGAACAACACGGAGGGGCTTCACGAGCTCGCCTGCGGGGGCCTGATTTACTGCCTGGGCGTGGTCTTCTTCAAGAGCGATGGCATCATCCCGTTCGCCCATGCCATCTGGCACCTGTTTGTGGCCACGGCCGCCGCCGTGCACTACTATGCCATCTGGAAGTATCTTTACCGGAGCCCCACAGACTTCGTGCGCCATTTATGACTGTTCTGCACCAGGTGTCCGCACCAGTATTATTTCAGCGATGGCACTTGGGAGAGGGGCAAGAGCTGCCTATTGCACAGGAGGAGGAAAAAGACAACTGCACTGACTTTCTTTATATAGTCTGACTATAATTACTGTGAAAGTATCAATGCTGTGTTCTGGAGTGTTCCAGGACGAATCCGTTAAGGTAGTGAACTAATTATTCATTCCATTCCACTGTCATGCAGGACTCTGGATAGACTTGGCCAACTGATGTTTACAAACCAGAATTTTGTATTTCGATTTTACAGACTTTACTACATGGGTTTTTCTAAATCACTAGGTCGGGTTGTGGAAGTCAGTGCAACAGCAAAGCTTCCTTTTGAAGAGAAACTCGTTTCTATCACTTTCCCATCAGCTGCGGAAAGAATCATGGGCAGAACTTACACTACTTTCGCCATGTTTTATCCTGACACAACATGGTTCTTTTTTAAACAGTAACTTCGTTTTTTTGTACATTAAAAAAAAAGAAAGAAAAAGTTCCATGGACACGCATCTCTGCGGGTCCCCGCCCATGTGCATTCTGGCAGCAAGCCGTCCACATTCCACAGGCAAACCAACATTGTGCCTCTTCGGATGGTTTCACGGGGCCGGAGAAATTGCCAATTTTTAAAAACCGCAGTTTTCCAGACGTTTTCTGCCAACCCCTGACTCCAAGTTCCGGGCTGCTTTGGGCCACGGCCTTGACTAGTTTGGTTTACTGATGATGGAGAAGTATTTTGATATCCATTAACTTTTTCAAAAGAGGCACCTTTTTCTCTGCGCCTTCGCCCTGTTCCCTTCAGGGTGCTCCTCTGCCTGTGCTCTGGTGTCGGTGGTTGGCCATCTGCTGAAACTCCCGTCAGGCGTTACCGTCCACAGTGGTGTTGCCTCTATGGTGCCCGACAGTGTCATTGTCACCTAGCTCTATGTTATCAGTTTATGCTCATTTTTAAACTGTGGAATTAGAGGCATAAATTCACATTTCTACCTTTCTTCTATATTTCCCCAAACACTTGTTTCCGTTTCAGGTAGAAAGTATTGAAAGCATGGATCTGTAGTCCATGGGTTATATCCTGGCTTAGTGCAGTGGTATTTAAAATATTAGCTTTGGTTTTCCCTCAGTGTCTTATATTAAGATTAACACATTAGCTGCTTCGTTGATTAATCTCCTTTTGGTGTTTTAATGAATGAGACAGCCTTGCCTTTAGATCAGGTGCCGACAGTGACTGCTTCCGAGTAACAGGTCTGACCAATGGAACTGTTGGTTGGATGACACATTTAGGCTTGTATTGAATTTTTGTACTGACACGGCTTTCAAAGAGTGTTTATTTTGTGTGTGTGTGTGTGTGTGTTTAGAATTCTCCAATTTCGGTGAATTATATGGGGAGGAGGGACAGAAGAACTGATATCTTCTGGTGACTCTTACATAGGCGAGGTCCTCCGTCCTCACCCCACCTGCATGAATCTCAACATCCGGATTGCCTGCTGTTTTATTGTGTATATTTTACTTTTAATATATTAACTTCTGTGGATTCATTTAAAGTTTGCCCAACTGTAACACTGACAAAACCACTAAAATGTATGTAAAAACGTGTGCTGTAGACAGAATAAAATTGTTACTTGGATTTGTTCCACCGTGTCTAAGCTAGATGACTGAACATGAGCATGCATTTTTGAGAGCCTGAGCTTGTCTGGATTTGTAATCCATGTATCAGCCTTTTTCTGAAAAGTCATGGTGGGAAGAAAAACAAATGTGCCCTGTCATCTAGAACTTTCTAGTCCACTTTCTACTAATTGGAATGCCAGAGTCAGCTCCAACGTTAATCAACACACATTTCCAGTTTAAAATACAGTAGTCAGGACCCAAGGGTGTCATTTTTATAAACGATGGGCCTTTCTCAAGAATGGCCTTTTGGCTTATAATACGCCGTAGGGCTGAGGTTACAGGCTTTCAAATTACCAACCGGACGTGCATTGTACCGCAGGCCCGACAGCTCTGAGAGTTAGACGTCACTCTTTCCCTCCTGCCAAGTAGGAAACAGAGTCAGGAGCCGGGACCGGCACCAGGTCTGTCCAGTTCCAAAGCCTCCTAGTCACCGCACACCACGCATTTCAGTCGGCAAAAGCAAAGGCAGCCAACAATTGGATCTGAAAATTCACCCAGCAAGCTCCCAGAAAAGGAAACGCGATTCTGCAGTCAGAGCCTCCATAAGCCCTCAGGCAACTGCCGTGGCATCTGATTTCGAGGACGGAGTGTCGTGAGGCGTGGTCATTGCCCAGCATCCCGCTCTGGGGTCCATCAGGGGCCCCTCACCTCCGTCTAGAGCAAATGTCCACTATCGCTGCCACCTTCCCGATCAGTATCTCTTCGGAAGGCCAGGCCTCTCCCATCAACAGTCCACATGCTGCTAGCACATTTTACTCAATGGCCCCAAACTAAGTCCATTATACTTTGTTACCACCCCCGCCACACACACACACACACACACACACACACACACACACACACACACGGCCCCTTTCATCCATCCCTCCTGGATTTCTGCCTCACACACTCCCAGCCCCAGCCAGTCAGCCAGAGCTGTCAGCTCCACCCAGTCACAACTCCCCGGTCTGGTTCCTCACCTCCCTCCTCACTGCAAGGCCCAGACTATTGCCGCCACCTCCTTGTTTGTACCTTTGCCACCAGTTACACCCCTCCGATGTGCTCATCCTTCACACTCTCAGTGTTATCTCCCTAAGACAATCTGAGCATGACTCCCTGCTTTAAAAACATCCAATCCTCGGCCGGCAGGGCTCAGTGGTGAAGCGCCGACCTATGAACTAGGAGGTCATGGTTTGATTCCGGTCAAGGGCACATGCACAGGCTGTGGGCTTGATCTCCAGTAGGGGGCGTGCAGGATGCAGCTGATTAATGACGTGCTCATCATTGATGTTTCTCTCTCTCCCTCTCCCTTTCTGAAATCAATAAAAAATATTTGAAAAAATAAAAATAAACACATCCAGCCCTCTTAGCATGGTCTCCTCCCATCTGTAGCGACCACAGGAACGTTGGTGAGAAATTGGGGTGGAAAGATCAGTGGGTCCCAAATAAAGCTCGTTTACAGAAGCTTCCAGAGAACCAACGATCAAGACTGGATAAGCCTGGGAATGATCTTGACCACCCTCCTTCCCTCTTGTCCTCCTTCCTGAACACAATACAATAAACTGCAACCAGTTCTGCAATTCTTGGGCCTTAAGGCAGATGATACTCAACAACCAACTTTCACATCATTTTAAACATTGCATATATTTTGACTCTAAAATATATAAAACCCTTTGGAAAATGGAGAACAGAACACGAAAAATGACCCTGAGTGCACTCATCCCAATGCATTTTCATGTATTTCCTGGCAATCTTTCCCCCCTACCTATGGGATTTGTTGTGTATTTTATACATTTGTAAATATGCCATACATGCAGTTTTACATACTGCCTTTTTTCTTACTCATTTTATCATAAGCATTTACAACTATCATTATATCATTTTCATAGCCAGAATTTTCAGAGGCCCCATCGGCTTTCTGGACGGGATACATGCAGCTTATTTCGCTTTGTCATTCACTCAACTCTGGATTTTTATATTGTTTTCCATTTTTCCTTCTTATGAGCAGGGAACACTGTGGCATAGCTGTGTCCGTGTGTAGGACGGGGTCTTCGAGGCAATAATAAGCAATCGAGGGCTTCCTCTAGTGGGCACCGTGCGAGGTGCATGGATCACCTCATTTCATCTCTATAAAGAACCCGATGGGTAGGTCATTTCATGGCCCCATTTTCCCGATGAGGAAACGCACCCATGGGGCTGCTTCCTTGTACGAGGAAAGTGGCAGAGCCGGGTTGAATCCAGGAAGCCTCAAGCCTCCTTTCATTCTCAGAAGTGCAATTCCTGGGTCAGAGGTTTATTACTGGACTTACCCTGAGGAAGGCCTTTGAAAATAATACCTCCTCTCATTCCAAACCTCCACATGTTTACTTGGTGTCTAGGGTTATGTCCACTCTTTTCATGGGCCAATTCGGTGCAGAGTGGAACGGGAAAGCTCTCCCAATGAGACTGACCCGGAAGGCCACGGCTCACCTCCTTCCTCCCGGAGCCCTGGGAAGGTTCCCCAGAGGACCTGGGGAATGTTTTTAGTTTCACAAGGTTAGAATCGCTGCATTCATGTCTTTCTGCTGCTTCTGCTGTTTTATTTATTTAAATATATTTTGATTGATTTTAGAGAGAGGGGAAGATAAGATGGGTAGAGAGAGAAACCTTGACCAGTTGTCTCTTGCACACCTTCCACTGGGGATTGAGACCCACAGCCTGGGCACATGCCCTGACCAGGAATCGAACCGGCACCCTTTTGGGGAAACGACACTCAACCCACTGAGCCACCCCGGCCACGGCGGCCTTCGCTGTTTTAAACAGACAGTGCCAACATGCTCTATGCTCCGCGCCATTCCCACCTCCATCCCTGCCATGTAACGTGTAGCTGCTTTGGGAGGGGCGTTAAGCTGTTCTCACCGGCAGCCTCTTCAACACGACAGAACGCGCTCATCCTCCCACACAGCTCATGATCCCTCTGACTTTCGCTGCAGCCAGAAGTGCTTAGGCTGAAACAGACCTGCCAGGCCTAATGGGAAAATCCGCTTTGGAGCCTTACCTTATCTCTGGGAGAGGTCCCAGGTCCCCTTGCCGTCTGGAGCAGGCCAAATTCGGACCCCCCATCAAATGTCCCTGCAAAAGTCAGGAAAATGCATTGAGCAAAAGGATCTGGTTCTCTTAAAAACAAATAAAAAATCACTAGTGTTTTTCTGCATCCCATCTGGGGGCCGGGTGTTGAGTGGGCGTGGCATCAGCCAGCCTGTGGCAGATGGGCAGGGTGAGCTTAGGCGAGCTTTTCATCACCTTTGAGCCTCGGTTGCTATCTGCAAAGAGGCACGGCATCCCCCTCCCTGCGCAGCCGTAGGATGAAACAGGAAGCCAGGAGTGTCTGGTGCATGCATGCTGCCCTGGGATTGGCACTAGACAAAGGTTAGCTCCTTCCCATGTGGCCAAGCTTTTAAAATTACGGGGACAGCCACCCACCTGCAGAGCGTTTCCATACGGAAACAACCTGGAGGAGCAGTTGAGGAGCACGCTTCGAAAAAAATTCTTGTGCAGTTTTTAGCTCTTCACAGTGGCCCTGGATCAAACTCCCCCAAGGCCTGTGGTCCCCACAGGCTTTCTAATGGTTTTGTCTCTTTTGTAACAAATGCTCTTTATTTTTTTAAAATTTATTTGTATTAATTTCAGAGAGGAAGGGAGAGGGAGATAGAGAGAAACATCAACGATGAGAGAGAATCATTGATCCGCTGCCTCCTGCACGCCACCCACTGGGGATTGAGCCCACAACCCGGCGGGCATGTGCCTCTGACTGGAATCAAACCCTGACCTCTTGGTTCATAGGTCACTGCTCAATATCACTGAGCCACACCGGCCAGGCTCAAACACTCTTTAAATAGTCAGTATCTCCTGAGACAGGCTGGGCACCGGATGGAGAAAGGGTAGGAAGGGGGAAAAGCTGTAATTGGACCCACATTCTAGGTAGCAATTTGGTCACCGTCTGTCATTACATGAGCACCCCCAGAGCCGCCCTCAGCGGTTCGTTGGGGTCCCCGCATCGCACATTCATTCAGCAAATGTCAACTGGGTATCAAGTATGTGCCAGGGACTGGTTGAGGCATTGGGGATGCTATAATGACAATTTATAAAAAGACAAAACCCGAGCCCATGGCTCAAACCAGCCAATTTCCTGTCCCCAGTCCCTTCATCTGGATCTGAGGCCTTGGCGAGTTTTTGCTGATCTGCTCACCACCCAGATGCCCGTGGCCAGTGACCGCAACAGTGTGGACAGGCCAGCAGAAAGCGATGCCGACTGAACTAGCTCTCCACCCAGGGGCCTCACTTCCTGCAGATGCCAGTCTGCATTCAGCTCCTGCTTGGGGAGCCCTGAAGAGGCTCACTGTACACAGGGACCCCATGGGCCTCTCTGCCCCAGAGAATGAACCACACACCCTGTTCGTTCACACGGGTCAGGTCCCTTTGAAATGGGGTTTCCTAGCCTCCCAGACAAGGGGGGATGAAGGAGAAACTCGTGTCTAGATGTTTCCCTTTTTGTTGGGCCACCTTTAGCCCCTCCATCATTCTCACCAATCCTGGGGTGTGCCACCCACCTGATCGTGGCTGGGGATACAATCTGGATAAGTTAAGTCTCTGCCCTCCAGGCTCCGACAGCCTCTGGGGAGGAGGACTTGGGAACAAATGAGCAATTCCGAAGCAACACAATCACAGAGTTTGTGTCGGGTGCTGTACTGGAGGAGGGAGTGATTCACTCTGCCCAGGGGAGTCAGAAGTCCTCCCGGCAGAGGAAAAGCTGGCAGGTTTCAGGAACGGCATGAGGAGTGCTGGGGAAAATACAACATAATAGTAACAATAACAACAGCTAGTATGGGTTGAGTGCCTGCTAAGGGCCTGTTATACATAATGTCTGTATAGCAACTCATCTGTTATTCCGGGGGGTGAGGCATGTGAATTTTTCCACAGCAAACTCTGAACGCTAGGTGGGTTTTTTTGTCCCAATATTTCTGGA